CCAGTCGAAAATCTCTTTCATTTGCCGGCCCAATAATCCGTCTAGCAATAGGTAAATATCTTTCAACTCGGGGAAACAAAATCTTGTTCTCAGACTTTCCTAATTAATTTCATAAACCAACTTTAGCAATTAAAGTAATAATTTAGTGCGCAAACGCCTTGTTTAAAAACGAGTTCAGCACTTGAGGCGTGAAAAAAGTATTCGCATTTTGCGACGTCTCTTTTTTATTTCAGTTGTTTGTCACACGTGCAGCAATTTTCATTTAGACACGCCTGCGATAAATAAATCCGTTATCCTTTTTTTCCGCGAAACTAATTCCGATTAAAACATGAGTTATAAAAGGTAATTAAAATGTATTATTCGCGTCACGAATTCGCCCCGTTATAAACTATTTTGTTTAAATACAATTTGAAAGCGCCGGAGTCATTGGCGCTTTGCAACTCAAGTCCTGAACTTTAAACAGGGACTTGTTAGATCGAGCACCGGCTTTCGTAAGTTGATTTTCTCTCTTCTACTTTCGAGTTTAGCTCTGCTCCGAGCATCGACGTGTTCGAAATGAGAAATGAATGTAGCTGCAAGGGGCGGAAGCAGACCGACGGTATAAAGCGTGCGTTTCCAACGGAATAGTACGTCATCTTTTAACGGTAACAAGAAAAGAGTTCGATTTCATTATTACCTTCGTATCGAGTCGAACAAGAAAGCTCGACTGCTGCCCGGTAGTTTTCCTTTATGTTCCCCGATATATTCGCTTACGAACACTCGAACGCGATATAGATTTGTCAAAAATTACATCGGCGGAGGCTCGAGCGCGGCCGTAACGACCATCGCGATCAACGTAATACACAGGTATTACGACTGAAAATATTGCCAAATATCCCGGGGGATATTTGTTGCCGTTGACATCGTGTCAACGACAGTTGTTCCGTCTCTCTTTACCTCGAGCGCTTTTGCGCGAACGAGCATTAAACCCGTATACGTTGACGTCCATGGTGGCCCATTTCACGAGCAATTTTTTTTTTCGATCGCGAGCTACGCCCAATATTCTAGGGTTCTCTTATCAAAGTTTTTGGGAACGGTACACGTTCGATGGTTCGCTCTAGCTTTTATATGGCGCAATCCTGAAAGCGCGAGTCATTTCGAAACGGAATTTTTATTTCCCCCCCCCCTCCGCCCCCCCCGTTCGCTCAGTTATGCAAAACATCGCTCTGTCTCTCGCGGCGCATAAATCACCAGGCCGCACATATTAGCTGTACATTTACTGTAATCATAAACAGGAAGTATATCAGAATATTCAGCATAAAGTTAATTACGTTTAGGCGTTTCCTAACGATCGCTTGTCGATGGAGAATTTGCCACGGGGGGATGGCAGTGCCACTATCGCCCGGTACTTTACGAGTGAATAAATTTTTCAATGACAGCGCGTATCGTGCGCGTTATATATTTATCGTATCCCGCATTAATGGCGCAAACTGCTAATGAAATTTCAAGGATGATATACGGAGTTCTCATGCCCTAAGACCACGGCTTAATGGGCGCAGGGGGGTAATTCGAAAACGGGCGACGAGCGCTCGCGCTAATGTCAGAGTCCGTGTTTTACGAGTTAATAAATTACTTAGCGATCGGCCGATGCATTCTTTGTTCCGATGTTGACGCGACGTATTTGCGTGCCTATACGACGGCAATAAAATTATCGAGTGATATATGTAGCACTTGTACGTAAACACCGTTGAATCGGACGAGTAGCGCCGAGAGTATCGGCGGGTTACTTTACAAATCAATCAAGCCGCGCGACGGACTCGCCACAGGCGTGATTTAATGATCGCCGACACCTTCCGCGTGCACGCCTGCACATCGCCGTTAAATGAAATTCTGAAGTTATCTCATATATACGCTCCGCTCGCTCCTTTTTCTCCCGCCGCGTCGTCGTTTAATGGTGAAGAATTCAAGCGTGACGTCGACAAGGGAAGGTGCGGGAAAGCGACTCAAGGGCTCTCCCGTGTAAGAGAGGAGAGACGTTAAAAAGAGAACTCGGCCAATTTTAAGGTGCGCGGAGCCGGGAGCCAGCACGCTCTTGAAAAATGTCCTAATGTAAATTAATGGCCCGGAAGTTTAGCCGGGAGGGCTATAACGTGAAAGAAACACAGGTAGGAGTGTGGCCCGTCCGCCCTGGCCTTATACGAGCCGCCGGAGAACTTTACCCTCTTTCGCAAAGATGTCGGAGGAAGGGGGCGCGAAGAGAGTGCGCCATAATCTAGGGTCTCGAGAACTTTGCCGAAAGTGCGACGGCGAGTCTACGTTTCTTCCGAACGTTAAACGGTTGAATGGACTTTACTTTCAATCGCCCCGTCTTGTTGAGAATGACACTGACACAACAGGGATGCGAAAGAATGCGCTTTACAAAATTTTCGCGAAACGGCATTACGGCGAAGAGTCGACACGTATTTCTACTTGCGCTAGCGATTAGAATGTCGACAGGCATTGAAAGACGTTAAAAATTACATTTCTTTAAACGTCGCTCGAGAAAATTAATTTCAATGTTACATTTTCTTCCGAAAAATTCTCCCTTGTGTCGAAAATGCTTATGTATCGAGTTCAAGTAAAGTGCTTTTCAGAAGGATAATCCCTGTTCGATGATACATCTGGAAGTTCGTTTGATACACACAAATTTTCTTTCAAGATTTTTGTGATGGAAGACATACGCGCACACATGTACATACACATGCACGTCAAGTTTTTTTAAGAGTAAACTTTTGGAGATGCTGCTCAATTTATTGCACACTTCTAACGTTTTACAACTGCGCACTCCCTCGCTTTCCCGCACTAAATGAAAATTTTTTCATTGTGTCTTGCAGCTTCCAAACTCTAATCCCATCATCTAATAAGAATTCTTCAATGTCGCCAGCGATAATTAATAACGTCAGTATTTTCTTGAATATACACCTGGCAGTTTTAATAATACAGAAAACTTATTGCGAAAAATATTACCTCAGCCAGGGTTTGAACCTGGACCTCCCTACACTCTAGGCGGGCGTCTCACCAATTCGACCACCGAGGCATATGGTAATATTTGTCGCAATAACAGTACAAATATGTCATCGCGTCTATTTCGACTTTTGTGAACTGCGCGCCGATAAGAGTTGTTTAATACCATCATGTCGCAAAGAACTTAAAATTTCGACTTGATTAAATAAAAATCAATATTCTTTCGTGTTTTTCTCTCTCTCTCAATAAGATAATAGTTTAATGTAAGAAATCATTAAACGCAGAACTCGAAAGAGACTATTTCTCTATACACGGAGAGAATTTTCGCTTAAAATTTACCCTGAAAATCATGTACTCGTGGAATACACGACATTTTGAAGAACTTTATGAGAGTTTTCTGAAATTTTACTTATACACTTTGTACAGTTGCTAGTGAAATGTATGGTAAAATTTCCAAAAACTCTCATAAAATTCTTCCAACTGCCGTGTTGTCCCACGATTACATTAATTTCCGGGAGAAATTTTAAGAGAAAGTTCTCTCCGCGTATAATAACAAAAACAATAGTTTATATTAAAACTTTAACTGAAGTACACGTTGACTCTGGGTAATCTTCAAAATCGATGAATTACGATGCGCGTAAACTGTTGCGAGTTTCAGCGCGATACAGAGAACGTTTGTCCTAACGAACGCACGTATCAAAATGTCTTCCACGGCAATTCTCAGAAAAGCAACGGAAGCTATTGGAACATCGAGTAATTTCGCATAACAATGCGGTAACTTTGTTTTATGCAAACACGGAGGTAATTCGAGATTACGGGCAAAACGCGGAGCCCGCGACCATAGCCGGCAAGTTTATTAATGCGTATATTCGAAAAGCCGTCGTAATCCTGCGGTCTCGCACGCGGATTATATTTCTTCGGTGACGAGTTCGAAGGGTCGTGAATGAATTCCCCGCGTAGGACGAACTTGTCACGTATCCGCGATAATGCGCGACACATTCTCGCGTATATGATGACCTAGCGCGCGGCAAATATATATATGTGTGTGTAGTATCCGTCGTACATGTATAATAATATTATCATGTGACATAACATTCGAAGTACCCACATCAAAGAAGGAGCGATAGAGTGCTTTAGGAGCGTCAAACGCGGCCGGGGAAGCTCTAACAATCCGGCGTGCAACGTGGTTTACGGTGGCGTCTCCGGGAGTTCTTTGCCGTCGTGCATAAACTCGAAAGACGCCAAACGACGTCAATCCGCTCAGATGCTAAATGTTGAACGCCCACAAAGCTGACTGAAAGCAGCGCTCGTGATTGTAGAAAGGATTTTGATTTCCGGGGGAAAACCGTGATCAATAATTTCTCAAATTCATATACCGAATGTCTATTTTGCTCCCGAGCGACGGAAAAGTGGCTTTTCACCAAACTTGAAAGCAGGTATCGAGGCATTAAAGAACGCCCAGTCTGAAGGAAATGAAATTTCGAAAAAAAACACCTGAATTTTTATTCAGAGAGGATTGATTTCGTCGGAGAACTTGTAATCAAGGGGAGAATTGCGAGACGTATGATGCGTCGTTTCTATAAAAACCTTTATGGCTTTCTAAGGGATTATTATACGTGAATGACAGAATGGCCGTAGAAATACACGAATTACATG